TTTTTTTTTTTTTTTTTTTTTTTTTTTACAACTGAAATTGGAGCTTCTACATTGGGAAGGGCACATGAGATCAGGGACCGTACTTGGGTAAACAATCACCTAACGATCCGGACACGCGATCTGGCAGCAGTACCGATACTGTCTGTCGCTATGCCTTACTCGGACAAAGCTGAGCAGGTTACAGCTGAGCTGGGACGGGGCTTTTGAGGAGGTGGCCGACACGGGCTGGGGGGGGGACGTTGTCCTGCCTGCAGACCTCTGAAGCGATGCCCAAAAGTCTTCACTGCGGTTGCCCTGCACCCACATGCTGCACGTAGCTTCTAACGGTGCTGTGGTTGCACATAGGGGGTGGATTTATTTTTGCCGCAACACATGTCTAAGGTGTTTAGCTGGACATAGATGTGGTTTTCTGTGTCGAGTTTGTGCAACTGTTGTGCTGTCTCTGTTCTGGCATTCGAGACACGGGCTTTCAAGGATCTCCGCAGCGTGCGGAGAGGATTTTGTAATGAGCCACATGAGGCTTTGCTGATCAGAAGAGCATTGTTGTACAGAATTGCTTACTGATGTTAATGGTCTCTGTCACTCTAGCCTGTTGACAAATATGTATTTTTGTACAGTACATCTTGTTGCCTTTCGGGGAATATTTCGTCTGTGGCTATTGAACTGGAAATCTGCGAATGTTCTTAGAGACCGAGGAATTAGCACGACAAGAGACTCTTGGGCTCCTTCGTGCAGCGCGGGACCTGACATGCAAATGATTTTTTAATTGCGTGAGATGATGTTACAGTGCTTATGCCTGAAAGGTTATTTGCTGCCAGAACGCAGCCTGGCTTGCCCTGGCTATGAAATTTTAGAGGTGTTGGTTTATTTTATGATTTGTATTGGCTCCCTTGCTTTACAGCAGGAACAACTGCCCTTGCTGATACCCACAGATTTGCCAGGCTGTGTAGCTGCTTTCTCATCAGGCGCTGCAGAGCAATCGCTGCTTTTCTAGAAGTGTCACTATTCAGATATATACTGCTTATCACTGCTGCAATAATTTTGGAGACTCTGGGAAGGTCTGGACAGGCAGAAGTGATTTCCATAGCGAGTTCAAATAAGATTTTTCTGTAGAACTAATTTCTTTTCTTTATACTCTGAAATGCACTTGCATGGGCAGAATGCCTAGGAAATTACTTTCGCAAAGCAGGGTTTAGAGGGGAACGATTGATGCCAATATGAAGCCTTTTGGTCAAGGAGATTGTGAAATGCATCTTCCCCCAAATAAATGTTTTGGGATGACGTTCATTGGAGCCCTGCTTGATTGCAAGAAGGGTTCAGAGCAGAACTGACTCGAGTTGTATCTTAGTTTCAGGATGACTTCTTGAAATGCTCTAATATTCACTGCTATCATCACAGCGTCTGGAAAACGTCTGTGTCCTCCAAGGCTTAGCCAAGAGCTTGTGAACATCTGAGATCATTTGGGTCAGGTCTTTCAAACTGGCTTTGCAAAGGGCTCCAATGTACGTGTGCGTGTCAGGGTGCTTCCCTGGGGATCCTCGTGGACAGGTTCTCCTTGAAAGTGTGGGTTTTGCAGAGGCTGTGGTTTGCAGGGGAATCCTGACCGGGGAGGAGGTGGCAGGATGAAAGCACAAGCCAGAAACGCAAACGTTTCTCGTGGTGCTGGGTCAAGCCAGAGCGCATCTCCGAGGCTTGTGGATAGCAACAGCCAGATAATGTCTGGGCTAACCAGGATCGTTGCCCTCATGCTGCATTTTCTGGTTTGCCCTGGTCTGGGAACTGGAACTTGGAATAGCAAAAACCAGAACATGCACGTTCAACCCCGTAATAGAGATGTGGGATGGAGACAAGGAACAGTTCTAGTGGTTTAAAAGGGCAGATGAGCTTTCCTACCTGAGCTGACAGGGAAGCATTTCTTTGATGGTCTGTTAAGACAGACTTTGCTATGAACCATGCTACTGCCTAATGAATGTCTCATTAGGAAAGGCTTTGTCAGGCCAAAGAGAGGACGGGTGAGACGGCTTCAAAATAAGCAGTGTTTTGTGCAGTCACGTTGGTGATGGGAACCTAAGCTCAAATCCCTATCCTGCCTGACTTTTTACAAACATTTTTTTAATACAACCCTTGATTTCATCTTAATGCAAATCTGGAATATTTCTGAAAATGCCCAAATCTGCTTTTCACCTTTAAGTTGATTATGTGGATTCTGCTAGAGCTGTTGGACCTTGAAAGGTGTTAACCCCACGAGGGCTGATGGTCAGAGACCCACATCTCTGAAAAAAAATCCGTGGGTTCTCATGTCCATGGGGTAGGTGTTATGCTGTGGGACTTAGGGACACGGGGATCTCTGGAAAAGGGTTGTTGGTGAGCGTGAGCTTGGGGCTGGAGCTGGTGGAGCCTGCTGAGCTCCTGGCGGCTGGCTGCATCAGGAAGAGTTAGTCACTGGCTCGCTGTGTACCTCTGCTGTTCTCTCCGTACCCCCGGACGGTGCCAAAGACGTGAGGATGTTATGAAAGGTGCTAACGCTTTGCTCAAGCGTTTTGTTTTCTAGGGGCTGAGGTAGAAATCCAAATGGTCAGAGCACGCTGCAGTCCTCTAATTGACAGAGGAGTCTTGGCAGGATCACGCTGACATGATCGCTGCTCGTATTGCTGCTGAAAACACAGGGAAACCTCTGTTCCTCCAGTCGGCTCTTGCTGTGTGAATGTGGCCAAAAATAGTAAGGAAACATCATTCCCCTCTAGTTCCCTAAGAGGGTGTTGAACTAGTTTGTGTAACAAAGTTATTCTAATGTTCTCTGGAGTTTTCCCTACGGAGATGTATGCAGGCAAACTCAGACTCCCTCTTTTTTCCTGCTCTGTGGTTGAAATGGAGAGGCAGCGAACATGGTGATTTGTTCTAACTGTTTCGGTGCGTACGTTCCCAGACCCTGCTGAATCATCTGAACTTGTGCCTGGGCATAATCGCTCACTGTCAGCTGCGTCCTGGGATCAGAGCGGCGTGGCTGGTGCCCAGGATATTTTGCTAAGGTCTACAAAACTGGTAGCACTTTTCTGGGAGTCCAAGTGGAAGCATAACAAAACTTACAGGCTGCTGGGTTTTTTGTTTTGTTTTGTTTTCCTCGCTAGCCCATGAGATCTAAAATCTCAGTCACTGCAAAGAGGAGACGGCTTGCCGCTATTTTTGTGGGCATTTTCCTGGATCTGGGAGCACTGGACAGCCTAGCAGTAAAACTGACTGGCCTGCTGGGTGTTTGGCTCCAGATGGCAGGCTGCACGCCCGTGTGTATGATCCAGAGCGATGCGTTGGCCTGCTGCTACTTTTCTACCCCTCGTTGCTTTTCTGGGGAGCTGATTGCCCCATCCAAAGCAGGGGTGGCGCTTGCTGGTGTCCCAGTGATACTGAGGCTTTCAGGAAAACTAAGATGCGTGCTGGTGTGCGCAGCACTGCCGGATGACGGCCTTACTCGCTGCCACTGGTGCTCCCGTTTGCAGTGACAGCTTGTTCCACTTGCCGCTTTCCTCGTTTTCCATGTAAATGCTGCTCTGAGCCTGTAACACCCTGTGCCCACTGTTTGCCTTGGGAAGTGTTGTTGCTGTTCCTGTGAGCTCCTCCCTCGTCAGCCCTGTTCTATAATTACTGATGTTCCTGAAACCAGATCCTTCCACGTGTCCTGCTCAGGTTCAGGAGGACAAGTTAGCAAACAGAGTGCCCTGGAGTAACACGCGAGAGGACTTCAGGAGTTTCAGAAAGCATCAGCTTACAGCGGTTCGGTGGGTTCTCTGAGCCGCCAACCTCCTCGCCTTCGGGGTGGTAAAGGAAAGGGGAATATATCCCAGATGGCTTCTCTGGCACTTGCAGAGAAGAAGCAGGGATGGGAAAGCTGGCACTTGTGGAGCAGCAGCGGAGGCTGCTGGAGGAGCATAAACAGGAGATGCCAGGCTGGGCGGTGGGTGCCTACCGTGGGCTCAGAGTCCCCTGCGGACACTTAACCATCTCTGCAGCCCCGTGCAAGCTGTTCTGTGCCTCTCTCCCAGCAGCGTGTATGCTAGGTTTGCAGCCGTGTTCCCAAAGCATTGCCACGGCTTCGCGGCCACCTCTGCTGTGCCCTGGGGTGATCCTCTCTCCTTACCAGACTTAATGATCTTCTCAAATGCTGTTTCCAGCTCTGAGAAGCCCCGGTGGTGTCACCTTTCTGG